ACACCGGGCAAACATAGGGGGCGCCGCCTGAAACTAGCGTTGATTAAAAATCAACGTGCAATCCGTCGAAACCACTTTTTTCCTTTTTCTTTGTTTTCGAAATTCGCGGTTCCACTGCGCGAAAAACGCGATCGTCTCGAACTCCCCCCCCGGAATCGAGAATCGGCGCGCACCAGCCTCCTCCTCCACCACTTGTCCGCGTTCGAGATACGAACCCGTTAATGAACTCCCGCTGCGCGGGGCCGCCCGTTCCTCAGCCATCGGGGAGGGAATCCCCGCGGAGTTCGTCATTACCGAATCAAAATTAAAGGCAAAGATCCGGGGAAGGGTCGGTAAGGATCGCTCCGTTCGGCTTATTAGCCGCGTACGTACCCCGTTTCGCTAATGGATACGAGACGGGTTCGATCGAAAGGCAGAAATAAAATCTGCTGCTTCCGAAAGGGAGCGATCCTCTCCTCGATTTGGAAAACGCACGCCCTCGAGGAGTATCGTATAGATTTCGTTTAAGTTTAAGTTTAATTTCTCATCACCTTCTTCCATCTCTCTGGAAGTCTCGTTGTTCCCTCTTTCCAAAATTGGTGGAAACTTACAAAATATCCCTCGAGCTGCGTTTCTATTTCGCTTACGGATTGGAACCGTTTATCATTGAATTTTTTAATGGCAGGGACAAGTACGTAGAAAAGTATCGTCGCGATGAGAAACGACACCTCGTCGGTTCGCCAATTCTTCTACTTTCTTCTACTTTTAATTTATCGAGCTGATCGCAATATTTTGAATTAGTCTCACCTTGAGAAGGGAGGTAGATTGCACCTTTCCAACCAAATGAGAAACAAAAGAACTTTCTTGAAAAACTTTCTTGAAAATCCAAGAAAGAATCCGTTTCACGAAGAAGCAAATCCACGTATATATATATATATACATATTTGAATGAGCGGATAGAGGAAGGAAAGTTTGCCAAGTTTCGCACGAATCTGGCGACGTCTTATTAAAATTCAGGCGAGACGAGATAGGAACGAAAACGGAGTGTACGCGTACAAAGAAAATGCGGAATTACCCTTGACGTTTCTGGTAAGGAAGGGGAGGGGGTTGAAGCTGTCGGTCCTCGGGAAGCGGGGCGCTCGCTAATTATTCGCGACTAGGAGCACGGCCCGGCCGCGCTCGGTAACCCGTAGGCACGCGTAATGAAATCCATGATGTATTAACACGGGCGTAAAGGCTCCGCTCGCTTCTACCAGGTGTCTACTCACGCGAGGCTAGGTAAACGCGCGCGGCTGAACGCACGCCGGCGCGCGTAAACGCGCACGCAAACGCTCCACCATGCTTGGATATACCGTGAAGGCGGCGGGGCCTTTGCCTCGCGCTTGCCCCTAATATTCGACTAATTAGAAATTTAATAACACCGTGGCGGTTGTTACGAGCTTACGACGACGACGACGACGACGACGACGACGACGAGAATCACCCCTTTCCTTCCCTTAATTTCAACCTTTTCCTTCTTCCTTCTTTCCTTTCTTTCTTTTCCTTCCTCTTCGACTCCTCTTTCCCTCGCATCATCCTATGTTCGAAATTTCGGCCAGGACGGGCGGAGGAATCGAAACGGAGGCGGATCGAGATATCCATCGGTCGCGACTTAATCGACTCGTATTACCAATTAAAATTTAATCATCCTCGAAATTAAGTCGTTACGATGTCGAAGACGCGCCTCGGAGATAGAGATAGAGAGAGAGAGAGAGAGAGAGCGTTTATTACTTCGATATCGTTGATCGTGAGTGGAAAGGTATTCGCATCCCGATGACGAATAAAATTTCGTAGCCTCGTAAAATCGGTGGTCGAAACGAGCCCCAACAACAACGTTTCCAGATATTCGCCTTCGCGTCTCGTATTGGAAACCGACGCCCTAACCTCGTAGACGGAGAAGGAAGAACGAAGAAGAGACAAAGACATAAAGAGAGATCCTCCTCTCCTCGCTCTTCCTCCATTCCGCTTAACGCGGCCGTAACTTATCGCTCGTAGACGCGCGGTATTTCTCTCCGGCTCTTTGAAAGCATTTTCTCATTAAAAAATTAAGGTTCGAGGGGTCGAGGATGGGGGAGAGAGAGGGGGGACCCGGTTTCGCGGGTTTGCGGGGCGGAGGTGGTTTGGGGCGAGTCGGTAAGTGCTCTGCGGCTCCCAGATGCGCCCAATATTATGCTTAATGATATTAACTTCTTACTTAATGGTCCGCGGTTCGATTCGAGGTGCGAAGAGGAGGCGCCTCCCGCCCTTTCTCCCGGGGAGAAAGAAAAAGGAACTACACCCGGGAGAATAATTTGCGGGACGAGGAAAGAAACGTGGGTACTTCGGGGAAGGGGGAGTGTGGGAGAAGGAGGCAGGGTGTCTAATCGTCCGGGAAACACCCATTTTTGGACGTCTTGCTTGGCCTCGCCTCGCGTCGTGGAAAATAAATTCGTAAATACAATCACCCCCTCCTCCTCCTCCTCTCTGTAAAATAATTTCCTTGGCCGACCCATTAGAGCGACCCCCTTCGAGGGCACCATTGTCCCCGAGATTCCCCGGGACGGGAAAGAAAGAAAGGAAGGAAGGAAGGAAAAGAAATTTGAATTTACAACGGTTGTAGGAATTTGCAAATAGGTGGATGACAGTCGGAGCCGTGGGGCGTTTATCTCGATAAAGGCCGCGAATCTTAACGATTGCCGGCCGAGCTACCGGACCCACGAGGGCTTCGAACAATATACAAGGAGGCAGGATTAAAAGTTTCGCGAGGGGCATAAAGGGGCTGGCTGGCTCGTGTAGCTTAACGAACCGAGATCCTCGTAAAACGTCGTAACGTTCGAGGAAGGAAAGGAAAAATAAAGAAAAGGCGTCTCGCGAGTTGGAACGCGGCGATTGCGGCCGAGACTTGGAAACGAACAATGTAATACGAGAAACTCGCGCGATCCAGCTCCCATCCTGGGACGGATGGAAAGAGGATACACGGTGGTGTCTA